ACACTACACGTCACACAGTTGCCTCGAAGATCTCCAGGAAGGTCTGGGGGTTGTCCACTGTTGTCATTTTATGCAGGGTGATATTGGAGAACGAGAGAGTCGAGGAGATGCCGACTGAGCCCCTGACCAACAGATTCTTCAGCAGCTGGTTTTGATTCCCCCCCCTGGTTATGGAGTGCTTTTAATTACTGCTTATTCAGGGCTGCCTGCTCACAGTGCATGGCAGTGCATGGCAGCAATCTCCCCCAGCATTTCTCACAGTAATGCCACCAGCAGTGGAGGCTGCTGCGGATCTGTCATATTGACAGAGGTACATTCGGCACCAATATAGCACTGCTACTGTGGGTTCCCCCAGCACACAACCAAGAACAACATATTAGTTAACCTCCACACCTCTCCCTCCAGCAGCTGAGTGTAAACCAGACCTACCTCCACTTCTATTAATAGACAGCTTCAATCTGTTGCATTAGTTTGGGGCTGATATCAGCATAAGGCGTTGTAATACACACAAATACAGTTTCTCACTGTATTTTACATTCTTACTTGAAAACCTCTCTAAACTCAGATTCAGACACATTGACACAAACCTGTGAACCAGATCAGTGACTGTACTCACCAGAATGAACTGCAGAAAGCACAGTAAGGAACAGGGATGGCAGATAAAGAGCCACACAGTCCACAGAGAGCAGAGGCCAGCAGCAGAGTCATCATGGTCACGATGAAGCCAGTTTCTTCCTCTTGTAGAGCTGTACTGGTGAGAGTGAAGGGTGCTCACTCAGGCCACTGTGAACTATTGATAAATCTTTGTCTGGGTCTGCAACTTTATATCAGCTGCTCATTAGTAAAGATGAAAAATTGATTTGGTCACTTCTCAGTCTTGTGCTCATTGTCTGTTGGTCTTATGGCGTGTCTCTAAACAATAAGAAAGAATAAGAAAATCACTTTTTGGTTTATTGGTATATATTTTCTGGAGGCAAACGGGGAGTAATGTGGCACCGATGGCTGGTCCTAGTTAAAAGTCTGGTGGCTCCATTTTGTACTAAATTTTAACGATTTAAGGAAGTTTGACAAGAAGCTTCTGATTTTTGCAAAATTTCGTAGCTGCAGAAATCAGGACTGGACAAATTTTGTAACACAAAGGTCAATTGTCATATACTAGACAAAGATGATGCCAATATTCTAAGCTGTGGGTTTGATATTTGTGCATAATGGTCCAATAAACTGATCAACTGCAGTGACAAAGTCAGGGCCAAATAAAATTTCCATTTTGTCAGGATTTAGGTGGAGAAAATTAAGAGGACTTCCAGTCTTTGGTGGCAACTAAGCAATCATGGAGGGAGGACAGTTGATTAAGGTTATTGGGTTTCACAGAAAAGTAGACCCGTGTATCATCAGCGTATGATCATATCATCAGCATCTTCTTCCTGGAATGGCGCCTGTTACAACGGCAGCCTGTCATGGCAGCTCCTATCATTGTTGTAGTTTCAGTGTGTTTTCAGTGTGTTTATGCTATTTTTAACTCTTTTCTTACTTTCTTACTACTTTGTTCACATCGCCTAAATTTCTTGGCATTTTTGAGCACTTTTTATTTTTTGTTTGCATGGGTCTCCATGTCGACAGGGAGTCGCATTGTTTACACCTTCGACTGGATGATCGCCCTGAGGTACCCTAGCATCCTGACTGGAGAGAGACCCTCCATATCAGAGGAGCTGAGGAGTAGACGGCGAGGCTGCAGAGCGGGGGTTAAACGGAGGATGAAGAAGAGGAGGTTTAAACTCTACACCCCTGCAGTCATCACTGGAAACAAATGTGGCTACACGAGCAGATACCGGATTCCAACGTTACCATTTCCGGCTTACAGGCGGTTCGAGCCGACAGGGACACCACTGCGACCAGCAAGAAGAAAGAAGGGGGACTGTCCGTGCTCATAAACAACAGGTGGTGCAACGCCTGGGCACGTCTGTGTGAAAGAGCGTGTCTGCAGCCCGGACATCGAGCTTGTCGCCGTCGGACTTCGTCCATATTATCTGCCACAGGAATTTTCCAGTATTATCGCGATCACTGTCTATATTCCTCCGTCTGGGGAAGCAGCGTGTGACGTCATCCACACTGTGACTGCAGGACTACAAACGAAACACCTGGAGGCCTTCATCATCACCACAGGGGACTTCAACCACGTTTCTCTCTCGTCCACACTCCCAACCTTCCATCAGTTTGTCACATGCGCCACCAGAGACAATAGGACCTAAGACCTGTTTTTTTATATCTCTATTTATTTCACTCAAATGCTGCTGTGACAAGTGAATTTCCCCATTATGGGATTAATAAAGTTATCTATCTATCTAATAGTGGTATGACACATCTTGGAAGCAGCTGAACAAATGACCCAGAAAAAGCATGTACGCGGAGAATTTATTGTCTTATGTAGGTGCTTACTGTATAGGTATCACATGTAGTGTTGCACGGTGCACCGATACTTCAAAAGTATCGTGATTCTCGGAAATTAAAAATGTCACGATTCCTAAATTTATTAGTATCGATACTTTTAAGAATGACCGCGTTCCACATTTGTAAGAGACGTATTTCATGTTGGTGTGTGCAACGCATGCTTCCAGTGCCTCCCTATGGACGTCTGTGTTCTTTCTTTCACGCACACAGCAAAGAAGCTGCAGCTGTCATGTGACAAACACTGTAACGACATGGCTGCATGTGCGAGCACAAGTGATACTGTGGCCGCTGGTCCACAACTGGTAGAAAAAGATGACTCGAGGAGTGAAATATGGAAGTACTTTGCCTACCTTGCTGACAGTGAGGGCAAAGCTACCGATAAGTCGAGACCTGTTTGTCGTCAGTGCTACAAACAAATGCAAACAAAGGGAGCCAACACCTCGAACCTGGAGAAACACTTGGCCGACAAGCATGCCGAGTAGTAGGAGTTTAAAGACCGACAGGTTAGTATGTGAAAGATAACACGACCACGTTCGTGCCCTTAAATAAGTAAAATTAGTAGGCTATGGTTTATTTTGTGAGAAGTCACTATTTTGCACCACCGTAGTTTAACGAGGCTATCTAGAGAAATAGTAGGCTAACTATGGGCATTATCCTCATGGCTAACCAATAGCCTGCCTACGGCTAATTCAACATCTCTGAAAACGCAACTTTCACAGATAATGTTAATAATTTGCAAGCTGCTAAAATAAAGCATACAAAACATCAGCTAAAATAATCTATAGGCTATATGATTATAATCAGAGCATGTGCATGTTTGTCAGTGATTTATTTCTATTGGGTTATTACAGCATTGAAAGAGCACAGACCTACGCAAAGGAGGAGTATTTGTGAAACGCCTTGTAAGAAATTATGGACTCAAATATAAAGTTAACCATCAAAGAAATCAGACGTTGAAGTACAGGAAACATTAGCCTATATTAATCCATATATCACAGCTTAAATAACATTAGGTTAACTCATTATTTCCTATTATTAATTATGGTAATGTTATGGTTAAGTAAATGTTAGCAGTTATCACTATAACCACTGCATATAGAGATGCTAAGTTAGTCACAAGTTATTGTTACTATCACACATAAACTATTTAGGTCCTCTGTTATGACAAATGTATCACCATCATATTTTAAATATTTCCATTTTCTTCTGCTACAGAAGTCTGGAGCCACGGGCTCAATGGCGAGTTTTCTCCTCTGAAAGGAAAGGTTGCGCAACTGACAGAATAAGTTACAATATCTGAGATACTGCTGCTAAATTTTATTTGCTTTTTTTCAAAGTTCAGAATAAAGATATAGTTATGTTTTCTCTTATGGTTCTTATGATAACCGAGATAATGCTGCTAAATTTATAATTTTTTTACCTTGAATGTTGAATGTTCATTGCTCTAATTTATTTTTTATATTTTGATATTTCATATTTTGTTCAAATGTTTAATATATCTGCTGTTCATATGTTCATTCATTAAAATCTTGTCCCGGTTTTAAAATAAAGCACAGCAATGATATTTGAGAGTGTTTCTCCCTTTTCAGGAAAAGTATCGAAAACAATAATTTTGGTATCGTGACAACACTTATCACATGTCAACAACAGTTCATGAACACAGAAAGACCTGCACACAAGAACATAATAAATTAAGAAACCGCTGTTTTTTTATAGTAGGACTTGAAACTACTGAAACACACATACTGTTCATTAGTGAAGCAGTGTTATCATTTTGATCACTAAGATAAACTCAGTGCATCCCTCGGTCCACTCAACATATTTCCTCTTAAAAGCATGAAAGCAACAAGAAATGATAATACTGATCTGAGAAAATGAGCTGCAGAGTTTTGAGCTTTAAAATATTCTTTTGAGGATCGTGCCAAAGCAACTAAGAAATACTGAAACCCTATCAGTGCTGACAGTGTCTGAATTTTTTTTCGTTGTCTTGCTTGAACCAAAGTTTAGTTGCCAGGCTTTTAATAGCCTTACATCAAACTTACTTCTGTTGCCAGGTGTCATTTGTAAGTAGAAAAATGAGCAGCATTATATAAGGTTTCCCCAAAACATCCTTTCCTTATGCAGAGTAGTTGCGTAAGACCAGAATTTAAGATTGGGCATTAACAGAAAGAAAACTGCTTTATCACTTTGAATGTAATTTTATTTTAGCTCACCAGTACTGCCAACTAAAGGAAGCACTTTTAAATTAATTTAAATTTAAATTGCACAATTATTTTTAAATTGAGTATACCAGCAGTCAGAACAGTCTAGCATTGTGGACATTGGTTTAAGTTTTTCTGTCGTATAAACATTACCAGTGTGAGCATTTTCACAAATGTAAAGCTCGCTCTCAGACGCTTCCTAAGAAATAACATATTTTGACTTCCTGTTTCAAGTGAGATAACAGGCGATTATCTCAGAAATTGTTTTTAGCAACTTTGAGGTGTAACTTCCTTTACTTAAAAGAAAACTGAACCCAGCTTCAGTTTTATCATTAATGTGTGAAGAGTAGCTTGTGCTGCAGAGCTGACCCACAGCAGAACATTTGGCACTCTTATGAGCGATGGAGGAAATCTATGAGAATGATAAATATGACGACTGTGCTGACTTAAGAGCATCAAAGAATCAGAGAGGTAAGAATAATGATTCATACAGAGAGGCTGACAGACTGAGCTCTGCAGAAATGTGTATTATTACCTGTCATTAATGCTGTTGTATCATTTACTGTATTCACTGGTCTTTTCTGTGTTCAGGTCCCAGGAGCTCAGAGAGGAGATTTCATGGATCTGTGGTTCTCTGTCTGGGTCTGCTCACTGTTCTCCTGCTGGTTGGACTCATCCGTCTCGGTGTCCACTGTGAGTCTTAATAACATTCGGAGGTTAAACTATCTTGCCTCAATTTTCTCATTTACATTATGTTACTTTGAAGCAGTTGTCTTGTCAGTATTTTGTGAATGCACACAGAAAAAATCAAACCCAAAAAGCCAAATCAATCATTTGAAATGTCTCATTACATTTTGGTGCCATGCTCAAATTGAGTTTTGTGATTTTATCATCATTCCAGCATTTATCCAGTATCAACTAATTTCCTTTTTTAACAGGAGTATCATTTTTAAGACACAACAGCAGTGGCATGTTGTATCTGACAGCTATCTGGTGTTTCAGAGAAGTGTCTGTTGTTTATTTCAGACCATGTCTCCGCTCAGCGTTCAGCTGCAGAACTCTCCTCTATCAAAGCCAACCTGACTGAGCGTCTTCAGGCCAGAGACAACAAGTCCTGTTCCCTGACTGAAGAGAGAGACCTGCTGAATGCCAGAATCACTGAAATGACTCAAGAGCTGGAAAGGCTGACTGGTTTGGGTGAGTCCTTGTCTATAGAATCTAGATTCACTTGTTGTCTGTCTTAAAAGAGAGGGGTAGGGTAGGATGAGGTGAATGGAAGAAGGGAAAGAAAGGGAGGGTGGGTCCAGAAAACTGAAGCAAAGGAAGGAAGGAGTTGACCAGGTATAAGAAGGTTGCCAGGTGATAAGGAGTGGTTGAGGCGTGGCCCTGCACCTGAAAATCACATTCATTTCACTGAAAAAGCTGATAACTTCACAAATACATTGACACAAGTCTTGTTGGTCTGTAATGTGTCTGTATGTTTATCTTACAGTGAAAACCTGTCCTGAAGGATGGAAGATGTTTAATAACACATGTTATCTCCTCTCCAATGAGTCTGGTACCTGGGATAAAGCCAGAGAGGACTGCAGAAACAGAGGAGCAGATCTGGTGGTGATAAACAGCGATGAAGAGGAGGTACAGTGTGTGTGTGTGTGTGTGTGTGTGTGTGTGTGTGTGTGTGTGTGTGTCATATACAAACACTGTTATGTTTTAGTTGTTGTTGGAGATGGGCTGATGAGATAGGAAAGCTGGTTATGGCAGAGGGAAGTTGGAATGGAGGATGGCAGAGCAGTGTGGCCAAAAAGGGAGAGAGGGTGAGCTGCAGGGAGACCAGGATCCTGAGACACAAGGAAACTGAATACTAAACACATGAAGTGAGTTGCCAGTGAGAGTAGCTACCACTGAAGTAAAACAAAACGATGTGGCTGTGTGTAGAGCTGAGGTTGAAGTAGTGCAAACTGATGAGCTGATGAGAGGCAGGTGAGCTCAGTGGGAGTGCTGATGAGCTATTGCAGACAGACAGACAGACAGACAGACAGACAGACAGACAGACAACACTGAGATCACAGGGAAGAATGCACAGATATAACCATGACACACAACGAAAAACCCCACAACAATTATTCTGTATCACTGTGGGCAAGATGACAAAAAACATCAAGATGTCTTTCTGGAAACAGATATTACCCATCTATACAGGATTTAATGAAACCTGTTATTTTTTCTTCTTCTAAGTGATATTTAGAATGATTAGGTTACGATCATTATTGCATAATAACATAATGTGGGTTTCTTTCTGTTGAAAAGACGCTTCTCTCCAAGTTCATACCCTACCGTGCTTGGATCGGTTTGACTGACAGAGAGGAGGAAGGGACCTGGAAATGGATAGATGGAACTCCACTGACTCTGACGTAAGGCTTCACTTTGGTTGAATATCAATATTAACTTATACAACTATCATTTTATATTACTATTACTATTATACAGTGATGTCACAGTTTTGGAAGGCACAGACAAATGATTCCATCCTACTGATAGGGAGTGTTAGAAAATGTGTGTCTCTAGAGGCCATGGACAAAAAATATAATTTGGAGGACTTGTTTCGTACATATACAAAGTGTTGATCGATCTATTTATTTATTTTTGACATTTATTTACAAATAAATGACAAAATATGTTATTTGTTCTTCTGGGAAACAAACATCTTTGTTCACTGCAGTCGCTACAGGGCTTTGTCACTGTGGTGCACTTACTGAAACAACTGACTGTGTTCTCTTTAGCAAACACTTCAGCATACATTTCTCAGTCTTAAAGATGAAGGAGAGATTTTCCAATCTTTAAGGTGATTTGGACCCACTGTTACAGAAAAATGTGATTTGTCCACGACTGATGGATCTTGGTGAATAACAGTAGTTTAAGGGCTGAGTTCGCCTGGATCCAGTTCTGATGCTGATTCTCCTATGCTAGTAGTGTGAACAAACCTCCCTGTGTCTCTCTAGCTCCCAGTCCAGGTATATAGCGTTATAAGAGCTAAAACAAGTTCAATGTTGTTTTGTTTTTCCTGCCACTATCTGACGAATGAAAAGTGGTTCGACTAAGACTTTTCTCAGCGACTAATAGTTTAGTCAACTATCAGTGGGCAGTCCTAGTCAGAGATACAACAGTGAAACCTACCAGCACCCAACTGTTTCTGGCTGTGAATGGGGAGTTTTATTGACTATAGTCAGGATTTTCTCATTCTCTGACCCACTAGGTACTGGGCAAGAAATCAGCCTGATAATGGTGGTGGAAGCTCAAAGTGGGGTGAAGAGGACTGTGCACATATCAGCACGGAGGATTTCAATCACTGGAATGATCGGTCCTGTGAAGATTCTGTGCAATGGATCTGTGAAAAAACAGCCTAACACTGCTGTATTGGTTATAAGTTCTACAATGCAAGCTATGATTATGTAAAGCTTTTTGTTATAAGTGCTTGTGTGTTTGTGTGTGTTTTTGATCATGTTAGGGACTACTGTATGTGTTGCAAGATGCACCTATTGATGATGATAAATAATAATAACTCAAGCAGTTTCTTCCTATGACAAAAGTTGCAGGGAAAGAGTGATTTATTTTGTAGAAGTAATCATTTTGAAACCATAGGGGCAGGGCCACTCTGATACAATCACTGGCTCCCCCTCGCTGGCTCACATATATAGGCATAATCTGCTTCTGATATTTTTCATTGGGTGAAAAAAAGTGGAACAAGGTGAAAAGTGCACCAGGTCATTGAAAGGTCCCCGATGAGGGGGGTAAAACCACAAGATGGTGGAGAGCGGAGATTGAAACTTTAGCAGAGAACTTTCCACTACTCACAGTCTTGTCATCTCAATCAGACCACAAGGGTGTTTGAGGATAGTGGGTTTTTGATCTCTGGCACTATTGCAAAACTTAGACAAGTAGCGGAAACAGTTTTCCCTGAACGATGAGAAAAGGATGTTACACCAACAGGAAACACCTGGACTCAAGCCTAAAACAGTTTTTCACAAAAGAGTGAATATTGAACAGTGAATATTCTATTCAACATAGAAGCACAAATACTACTAATGCACATCATTGTGAAAAGGTATAGCCACACTTCAGCTAAATCACAGATATTTGTGTACATCTTTCTGTCACCTCTTATTGAGAGCTATTTCCACTTAAGCTTTGTGGCATCTTTCCCCGTATTTGTTCCCGTTCAAGGTGCCCGTGTTGACAGCTTCCCATAGTCCAAGCGTGAATGTTACAAACATGGTGAAAGATTAAAGTTACTACAATATTTCTATAACTATTATACAATGTATTGATACAATATGTCAGATGAATACTTACTCATAAGGGCTCCAATGAGCATCTGTGCAGATCTCCACTAGCTTCATCTCTGATGTAAGCTTGTCCACATTCTGGATAAAACCCTCCTCCTTATTATTATTAACAGTAATAATAAAACATTTTATTTTGAGAGCGCTTTTCTAGGAAGACACTTCATACAGGTTAAAAAAAATAAAAAAAATAAACTTCATAAGTTGTTCATGTTTATGGTGAGGGAATTGGGACAGATGATGATTATGTCAGATTTGTCACAGCTGAGTTTGAAATTAGGGATGGATGGATTGCATTATAGATGCAATCCAACTTCCTCAGTGAGTCAAAGTGGAGTGGGTTGTGGTGGTGGTGGATTTAGTGGAGATGTAGAGTTGGATGTCACCAGCATAACAGTGAGAGCGGAGACCATGATGGCATATCAGGTTGCCAAGGGGCAGAATGTACACTATGAACAGGAGAGGACTGAGCACCGAACCCTGGGGTACGCCTTGGGACAGGGGAGCAGTGGAAGAGGTGCATCATCAAATTACAGGTATGCTCTCAATTCCACATGTATCAGACGATCACAGGTAGTCGTATCCAATCCAATCCAATCCAACTTTATTTTTTAAGCACTTTAAAAACAACCAAGTGCTGTACAGGAGAATAAATAAGACATCATAAATGTAAACAGTGATGGTGATGATGAAGACCACTGTGAGGAATATAGACAGTGATGGCGATAATACTGGAAAATTCCTGTGGCAGATAATATGGACGAAGTCCGACGGCGACAAGCTCGATGTCCGGGCTGCAGACACGCTCTTTCACACAGACGTTGCACCACCTGTTGTTTATGAGCACGGACAGTCCCCCTCCTTTCTTCTTGCCGGTCGCAGTGGTGTCCCTGTCGGGACCGCTCTGCAGCCTCGCCTCCTGGTCGCGGGTGTAAATATTGCGACTCCCGTCGCCATGGAGCCCCGTGCAAACAAAAAATAAAAAGTGCTCAAAAAAGCCCAAAAAGTATTTAGGCGACGTGAACAAAGTAGTAAGAAAGTAAGAAAACAGTTAAAAAATAGCAAAAAACACACTGAAAACACACTGAAACTACAACAATGATAGGAGCTGCCATAACAGGCTGCCGTTGTCGCCGGCGCCATTCCGTGGATCACACATCAGCTGACAGCTCAGCTGATTCCCTCAAGCATCCAATTGGCGAATATCATTCAGGGCGTCTTATTTAAGATAGCTTGCGTATCTTTGCTGCTTCCTCTACAAGCTGTTTTGCAACCCACCTCCAACCCAGCTCCTCCTTTTATGTTGTATGTAATTAATCAGTGTAATTTTCTGATTGCCATTGATGCTTGCTCTGTTCTATACCCTGGGGGGTCTCTGCTGCCGCTCTCCTTGTCTTAAACTTTTCCACGTAGACACATGGAAGGACATGGAGGTGTGCTCTTACTGCCTTAAGGTTTTCCACGTAGGCACGTGGAAAGGCAAGGAGGTCCCAGAACAGAGCCATACCACCAAATGTAACATTCTGCTTCGGAATAAAAGTTATTTGACAAAAGTGGTCCTGACTGAAATAGGAAACTGCATTTTATAGGATGCAGTTCATTTAGCTGAAGAACTGATGTCAGCTCCATTTTATAGGTTAGTGCTACAGTTTGGTAGCTCATTGCTATCAATGAGTAAAATTATGTGGATGGATCTCTTAGGCTGTGGTTAATAAGTGTGTACATTCACCATTTCCAGATGTTTACTGTAACGTTTACATTTTACAATCTCTATCACAATCCCACATAACAACCCACAACTAAACCATGAGTTATTGGAGGCAGTGCCTGTCAGTGCCTACCTATGTGTTCAATGGAGGGTTTATTATGGTGAAGAAATGGCCAAGTTCGGTTCATTTAATAGTTTAGTCCTTCATTGTCAGTGTAGTTGGTGAATGTGGGGGCCCACAACATGCCTTCTATAATACCAGTTGAAACAGGAGCACAGCACTTCATGCTTTGGAGAGAAAGGCTGCTCTGTTGTGCTGCTTTGATTTAGTCTTGTGCGCACAAATTAATCAAAACGTGGGAACAGATTGTAGCTCACGTGCACACAATAGCATTTGGAGTGCATGCTGTAGTAAAACGTGGCCACAATATCTATTTTTACTCTCTATTGTCACGCCCGGGCTCTGTATGAATACATAGAATGGAAGGCAAACAATAACAATAAAGTTTGTGTGGATGGTAACTGAACTGTAAAGGTTGCTCACCAGGTGGTGATGGATTTACACACAGAAAAAAGAAGGAAATAATAGCAATAACCTGAGTTTATATATATATTTATCATATAGTTTCCTCTCTATAGACACTGCCGGGCTCCAAAAGCCTGATTAAACCACGGCTGCAGCTGGAACACAAGACTGAACACAATTAGTTGATCGATTGAAAACGGTTTTAAACATTTGATCAACACAATACAGATGTGAGCTCTAATTAGGAAAATAATATTGGATTATTCATCAATAATCATAAAATAATAACAATGACAATAACATTAATGAAGATTTCGTTGTATTTGAGATTTAAGATCTTGAATCTGATTATAGGTGAAACTGAAATTATCATTAATTGATTGGTTCATGAACAGTATCTACAATATAATATATTTTGATATTATGTAATCAATATCTTTTCTAATAACAGATTAATTGTTTGAGGTTATATTGTGGTTCCTTCAAATGTGAGAATTAGTTGTTTTCTTTGTCAGATATGAAACTGAATCATTTTGTAATTTAATGCATTTACATTTATACATACTGCAAAAATTATTATTATTATTATTATTATTATATTTCTTACTGTGTGTTCTGTTGACTGTATATTTTAAACAGGCTGTATTCAGTTAGTCATATCCATTAATATGCACAACAATGGCACTAATGTTCAGCATGAATATAGAGTGATAGCTCCCTGTAATAATCCTGCTGACACACACAATGGATTTGGATTCAACAGGAAATGGAGTTTGGATATTTGCTTAAAGTAAAAGCACAGAGGGTCAATGAATTCCTGCTGCTGATGGCAGGATTTCAGTATATATACCGTATACAGGTATTCCATTGAAAATCCACTGAAAGACAACTTTTATTCTGGAGTGTATCCGACCGACATAGAAATAGGAGTTTGGCTATGCCGACAATTAATAAAAACTGCTCTGACAGACGGAAATGGAAATAAAGAGACAGAACGATTGTCTCCAGTTTACACACATTGTTGTGCAGATGAATGGATATGACTAACTGAATGCATCCTTTTTCAAATATACAGTCAGTAGAACTACAGTAATAATGAAAACTGCTTTACATGGAGCCATAAATGTTTTACACAATAACTTTGTTTACATAAACACAGACTAATAATACTACTAATAATAATAAGTAGAAGAAGAAGAAGAAGAAGAAGAAGAAGAAGAAGAAGAAGAAGAATGGCAGACCTGAAATCACAAAACAGAAGAGAAATTCTTACGTTTGAAGCTGGAACCACAAAATATAATTTTTACCTGAAAAATTACTGAAACAATGAATTTGTTATCAGAATAGATATTGATTATATTTCTGTTCATCATTCAATGTATCCGTAACCTGTCACTGATGATCAAATGTTTAAAAAAGTTTTCTATTGATCGACTGATTTCCATTTCAGCTGCGGCCTGTATAGAGCTACTGGGGTTTTGATCTAATAATAATAACAATCGCTGACAGACAGGAGCTCAACTGTTGACAGTGAAACTCTTCAACTGTGGAACAAGTGCTCATTTGTTTAAAGTAAATATCTCAGTTAAGAAAACATCTGTGTTGGAGTGCAGACATCTGGAAGTGAGAAAGCAGCTGTTGCAGTGAGGAAACAATGGCCTCCTCTGGTTTACAGCGTGAGAAATACCTGCTGACTGTAGGCATCCTCCGTTTGCTGGATGAGCGCTATGGTAAAACACAGTAGAGCTGCTGACTGACACATGTTTGCTCTATATTATTCTTCAATAGAGTAGCATAACAGATAGTACACTCCATTATAAAGGTTCAGAAATACATAGAGGACTCATTTCATGGTGTTGGTTGAAAATATTCCCCAGAACAGCATGGGAATATTAAACCTGCATTACACTCCTTATCTCAGTGTAAAATGATTATAGATGATTAATTATACTCAGAGAGCATGTGACAGGTGACACAAGTCTGAATAATGATGTAGTGATTGAGAAAAACTGGTTACTGAGGGGCTGCAGGGTCGTCGAGTTTAACATTGAAAGTATAGGACAAAGATGGCGTGCGGGCCATTATTTAACAAACGCTAAAAGTTGTGTATGTCCTATGCGCCGTGGAGACAACGTCAGATACTGGAGACAGACGTCTGACGTTTGTGTGTGGATGAGTGAGTCAGCGTGTCTTCATTGTTGATTGAAATCTATCCGGAGGTGTTCAGAGCTTTTGATGTCATTTATTTAGATGCATTTGATGTAATATACTAATAAATCCGTCATGTGTTTGTTTTCCTTTTTGTCTGTCTCTATCTGTTTCCAAAAGTGTCCTCATCTGCAGCAGCATCACACACACTTTGTTGTCCTTAACATCATCCGGTCTGTCATCACACACAGATCCAAACTGGAATTATATCCAGCTCCAGTGTCACAGCTACATAGCTACATTTGTTTGTCCTCCTCAGAGCCTTTAAAGCCCTTTAAAGAGAACAATAACATTGCTTTATCTTTTTACTATTTGCCAGGAATCCATCTAAAATCATCAATGCACTTATTCTTCTGACTGTACTGTCTGTTTAGTCACATGATGAACATCCTTTATATTTGTGTTCAATTCAGTTCTCTTCAGTTTACAATGTTTGGAGTTTGAACACAATGGGAAATGAGGATGGCTCTGCTCTCTCTAACCAGTTGAGCTTGCAGTGCCACAGTAGGGACGTTTGAGGGTTTTGAGTGACAGACTAACACGTTGTTGTCATACTGTTTTGGTCTTTTCATAGAAGTTGTTGACAGTAAGAAAAAGTAATCTAGTATCCTTTAACATATTGCTTCTAGATTTAAAAACTAAAATGATTTATATTTTTCTTCTTTTTCTCCTTCAATAATGAAATTCATTGTTATCAAATAAGCATCAGTGATACTCACAGACACACAGCAGCCATTGGTCAGTATGATGGGACTTAAGGTGATGGTTATTTTCTCAGCCTGAAGGCCGTCTGGGGATGTGTGGTTGGCTGTGATAGTTAGAGGGCTGGCTGACACAAGCTGGAACAGACAACCACATTAATATGACTAATTGTTAGACTAAATATATGATTTATTTTACATTGATATACACAACATCTGTTCTTTGGAGCAGATTTGTTTAAATTCTAAACAGCTATAAGACCATTTCCAGTAACAGAAGACTGGGTCTTAATATACTGACATCACAGCCACTCAGAGGGCTGAATGCTTCAATCTGTTGCATTAGTTTGGGGCTGATTTCAGCACAAGGCGTTGCAAAGAGTAAGTTAGAAGAAAAGAGTGTAACACAGTTTGGACTAAAGCATACAAATATTTCAGTTTTTCACTATATTTTACAATCTTACTTAAAAACCTCTAAACCCACATTCAGATACATTGACACAAACCTGTGAACCAGATCAGTGACTGTACTCACCAGCGTAAACTGTGGAAAGCATAGTAAGGAAGACTGATTGAACTGACTCTGTCCGACAGCAGTAAGGAAAAACGTCCTTTTAAGAGTCAGAAACCTAGGACAGACCCTTCGGCTCTAGGTGGGTGGTCGTCTGCCTCGACCAGTTGGGGTGAGAGAGAGAGAGGGAGAGAGAGAAAGAGAGACAGAGAGAGAGACAGACAGACAGACAGACAGGTGCATAGCAACAACAGTAGAACAACTACACTAATAGTAGTGACTGACAATGACAGTAACCGTAGCTATAATAATACTTATAATAATAATAACAACACTAATATCAGTGATATTGGCAATGGCAGTCAAGCAGTACCATGGTAGGAGGCTCCACCAGGATCCATTATATATATGTGTATATACAGTGGGTACCGAAAGTATTCAGACCCCTTTAAAATTTTCACTCCTTGTTTCATTGCAGCCATTTGCTAAAATCAAAAAAGTTCATTTTATTTCTCATTAATGTACACTCAGCACCCCATCTTGACAGAAAAAAACAGAAATGTAGAAATTTTTGCAAATTTATTAAAAAAGAAAAACTGAAATATCACATGGTCATAAGTATTCAGACCCTTTGCTGTGACACTCATATTTAACTCACATGCTGTCCATTTCTTCTGATCCTCCTTGAGGTGGTTCTGCTCCTTCATTGGAGTCTAGCTGTGTTTAATTAAACTGATTGGACTTGATTAGGAAAGGCACACACCTGTCTATATAAGACCTTACAGCTCACAGTGCATGTCAGAGCAAATGAGAATCATGAGGTCGAAGGAACTGCCCAAGGAGCTCAGAGACAGAATTGTGGCAAGGCACAGATCTGGCCAAGGTTACAAAAGAATTTCTGCAGCACTCAAGGTTCCTAAGAGCACAGTGGCCTCCATAATCCTTAAATGGAAGAAGTCTGGGATGACCAGAACTCTTCCTAGACCTGGCCGTCCAGCCAAACTGAGCAATCGTGGGAGAAGAGCCTTGGTGAGAGAGGTAAAGAAGAACCCAAAGATCACTGTGGCTGAGCTCCAGAGATGCAGTAGGGAGATGGGAGAAAGTTCCACAAAGTCAACTATCACTGCAGCCCTCCACAAGTCGGGGCTTTATGGCAGAGTGGCCGGACTGAAGCCTCTCCTCAGTGCAAGACATATGAAAGCCCGCATAGAGTTTGCCAAAAAACACATGAAGGACTCCCAGACTATGAGAAATAAGATTCTCTGGTCTGGTGAGACCAAGATTGAACTTTTTGGCGTTAATTCTAAGCGGTATGTGTGGAGAAAACCAGGCACTGCTCATCAGCTGCCCAATACAATCCCAACAGTGAAACATGGTGGTGGCAGCATCAGGCTATGGGGATGTTTTTCAGCTACAGGGACAGGACGACTGGTTGCAATTGAAGGAAAGATGAATGCGGCCAAGTACAGAGATATCCTGGAAGAAAACCTCTTCCAGAGTGCTCAGGACCTTAGACTGGGCCGAAGGTTCACCTTCCAACAAGACAATAACCCTAAGCACACAGCTAAAATAACAAAGGAGTGGCTTCGGAACAACTCTGTGACCATTCTTGACTGGCCCAGCCAGAGCCCTGACCTAAACCCAATTGAGCATCTCTGGAGAGATCTGAAAATGGCTGTCCACCAACGTTCACCATCCAACCTGACAGAACTGGAGAGGATCTGCAAGGAAGAATGGCAGAGGATCCCCAAATCCATGTGTGAAAAACTTGTTGCATCATTCCCAAGAAGACTCATGGCTGTAGTAGCTCAAAAGGGTGCTTCTACTCAATACTGAGCAAAGGGTCTGAATACTTATGACCATGTGATATTTCAGTTTTTCTTTTTTAATAAATTTGCAAAAATTTCTACATTTGTTTTTTTTCTGTCAAGATGGGGTGCTGAGTGTACATTAATGAGAAATAAAATGAACTTTTTTGATTTTAGCAAATGGCTGCAAAGAAACAAAGAGTGAAAAATTGAAAGGGGTCTGAATACTTTCCGTACCCACTGTATATGCATTGGCTATGTTCATATAACAACAAATATGATCTTAATCTCTATGGGCTTTTACCTGGTTAAATAAAGCTTAAATGAAATAATATAATACAAGGATTTCAATATTCATATAATTTATTATGTTGTGTCTATGTTAATTAACCATATTTTAAAATTTGCAATATCCTTTGTTACAACTTAAGCATTTGTTTTATTAAGTCAGTTTTAGCCCCATCAGCTACCACAAAGTGGAACTAACTTGCTCATTAAGCTGGTCGTGCTGGATAGGCTATGGTTGTGCATCTGTTGTCTCCAGGACTCCTGTTCCTGGAGCAGATGACCATATAATATCTGTCACAAAAGTAGTGTTTAAATCGGAGCAATCTGAAGCTCCCGGGGATTACTTTTATATATGTTTATTATTTGAAACTTTGGACAAGTTTATTATGAACACCCAACATTGTACCATTATATAGGCCTATATGACAGAAAATAAAGGAAAGCATAGCAATAGCAATATGTCCCCTTTAAGAATGCAACTCCGTTTGACACATATGAAAAATGGAAACATATATAATACATAATAAGGTATAAGCAACACAAAAAGTCAGATTTTCAAATAATGTTTCACTTTTACATGAAAAAAGGCTTTGAGGATTAGACTGAACTTTTCATACATTGTACTCATTTATACAGTCTGATTACATAAATTCCATTTCTTTTACAGACATAGATTATTCATGTCAACATACAAGACCATTTACGACTAAAGCCACTCCATAATCAGAGCTTATATAGAAAAAGCATTATCAAATGTATGATCTCAAAACATACAGCAATGTTAAGCTGTTTTCTCGCAGACCCATGGCAAAGAAAGTTTACACGACCTGTCATTCCATGTATTGTCGAATTTAATTGTATGTACACAGTCCTCTTCACCACCGTCTTGACTCCCATTACTAGGCTGACCTGTTGCCCAGTACCTAGGAGGTTAGAAAACGAGAGAATCGTGACACTGTTTATCTCTGACATGAACACAGCCCTTAAACAGCTTCATCACCAAGATCCATCAGCCCTGGACAAACCACATTTGTTTCTGAAACAGTGGGTTCAATATAATCTTAAAGATTGGAAAATATGTCCTCCATCTTTAAAGTGACTCATTTGTAGTGTTTTCTAAAGAGACTGTACTCTCTATTATGTTTATGTTCAAGTGGCTGTAGTAAATGAGGAAGTCAGCTGAGGTCTTTATAGAGCAGCAAAGTCTGCAAAGGGAGGACGTCGGGGTGATTGGTTGTTAAGTCCTTGTTGAGTCATTGAGCAAATTCCATTTCCTCATATATAATTAATTCTAATTAAGTGTGATATTCATTGCAGACATGATGGTAGCAGTATGCTACTGCAGATTTTACATGAAAGATGCAATACAACTCATCTCCTCCATATAGCCTTAATATCTGGCTTTATTTTACCTATCCATCTAAAAGCTAAATACAGATGGACTATTGGACCTAACATTCATCTGGTGGACAGAATTAAGTCCAGATGTGTGTCTCCTGGATGTGTAAATAGGCAATTTTTGCCTTCTCCATTGCTATAAAATGGTTAAAGGTGATAATATGTCATGGCTCTGAGTTTAGCAGCTTATTGTGGAGTTATTCTGCCCCCATGTGGACAACAAATTAATCTGTACAGTTTTAAGATTTAACAAACTTCCATGAATGCACAGAATCAATTAAATTCTAGTAATATAAAATGATAGTTGATGTTGATATTAAACCAGAGTGAAGCCTTACGTCAGAGTCAGTGGAGTTCCATCTATCCATTTCCAGGTCCCTTCCTCTCCTCTCTTAGTCAAACCAATCCAAGCATAGGTTTTGTAGAACTTTGAGACAAATGTCTGTTAACAAAAAAGAAACTCACATTATATTTACACAATATATATACACACATTAAAATGATTACTGTAACCTAACCATTACAATGAAATATTACCTAGAAGAAGAAACAAATAGAGGGTATAGAGGGTGTCTGTTACCAGAAAGACACCTTGATGTTGTCCACAGTGAGACAGTCATTGTTGTAGCTGGGTTTTATGTTGAGGTTTAGATTAGATTAGAAAACATACAGTACAAAAGTGTACAGTGATGTTTAGGAGTGAGTATGTAATTCACAGATGAGGCGGCTGTGGCTCAGAGGCAGAGTGGGTCGTTCCCTAATTGGAAGGTTGTGGGTTCAACCCCCGGCTCCTGGTGCCACGCATAGGTGTGTGAAGTTTCTATTCGATGGACTTTGCCGTGAATGTGGCACGTAGTGTAAAAGCGCTTTGAGTGGTCGGAAGACTAGAAAGGCACTATACAAGCACAGGTCCATTTACCATCCATCACTTTATCAGTGACGGCTGGTGGTCATTTTGGGTGGGTGGGCTAACAAATGTATTACACTCATCAATACTTCACACAGCATCAACAGCAGCAACAGTAGCATCACATCAAGTCACAGCAACAACACTGGGGAGACATATCCAAAAGAATGGCTCTCTCTCTCTCTCCTCTGTACACATCAGCACATGTCAATTGCGCTACAACAACATTATAGAAAAGTACCAGCAACATTTTGTAACACCATGTACCAGAAATAAATCTATAACACCAAAGCAAAAATAATTATTTGTAGACGAGAGAGTTGTTTCAGAGCTTGGGCATACCTTATTTAAAAAGCAGCTCTCATCGACGGCGTTTCTGTGATGCAAATAGGTTATTCACCATGTCATTAAAGCCTGCTGATTTTTTGATGAAGTCCCGCTCAATGGACAGCATAGCCAGTTTGTTTAGCCTGTCCTGTCTCATTGTACTTCTAAGAAAGGATTTGATCCTTTTCAGTGTACTGAAACACCTCTCTGACTCTGCAGATGATGGGGGTTGTGATGGCTATGTGGGTTACTTTCAGTGTTTCAGAAAAAGTGCTCTATGGATTGTTCATTGTCACTCTCAAAAGTGAGATTGCAGACATTAGGTCTGCAAACTTCACACTGCTGTACATGACCATCAGTTTATCCCTGCAGATCACTGGGTAATGAGCACATGCAATGTCCAGCTACTTCTGCAGGAAAGTGTTCTTAAACAGTGGAAAGATTTCAGGGTCAATATGTTTGAAAGACACCAAGTGCCTGGCTTTCTTATTATGTGGCCATTATGTGACAGCACTGTGCGGCCATTATGTGACAGCACTGTGCGGCTTTTGACACATTATCAGACCACCGCATCCTGCGCGGCGTTGCAGCGGCCGCAGCTGTGTCCATGTCTGGATGTGGCTGATTGTCATCTGTGGTCAGAAGTTCAGATATGGAGGATGAAAAATTCTTCAGGGCCTGTCTCGTTTTGAGAGACTCTGTGATCTGTTTCTGAAGAATGCTGTAGAGAATATCTACATGCATGAGGGCAGAGTGGGAAGAAGATAAAAAGAAAAGAAAGCTGAGGTCCCCCAGAAATGCGGACAGGTTGTCCCAAGACTAATCATCCTGTACTTTTTCAAAACACTGTTTCAAAGTGTCCTGATGTTCAAACATGGTGTGGCTGGTACAGCTTGTAAAGTTCCACCTTCTTTGTCCTGACGCTGGCATCCTCCTGCCACACACTTCATCTAGGACTGCCGTTGTCTTGGGGGACTTGGAGAAAAACATTTGCAAAAAATATTCTGACGGCTGTGTGAGATGAGCAGGCCTGTTGCATGATGAGGTTTAACTGGTGGGCATAGCAGTGCATAAAGTGTGCGTGAGGGAGTGTGTCCTTTAACCTGGCCTTTAGGCTGGATGATGCACCGCTCATTACAGCTGCCCCGCCATATGTCATATGTGCGATCAGTTTGTTCTCCAACGTATATGGCTGTAGCTTCTCCAGCAGCAGTGTTTCGAGTCCCGCTGCAGTTCTATCAACTAACAGGGAGAAAGTGAGGAATCTTTCCACCACCATGGTGGCTTCAATGACGTACCTGAACACAATCACACACTGGCTTACACAGGTCACATCTGCAATATTTCATCTGCCAGTTTTTGTTCATAAATCTCTAACATACAGTCAAGCAACTCATTTTGGCTGGTCTTAGATGTGTACTTGGCAACCTGTCTAAAAAAGAGAACCGGTTGACGAGGTCCAGAAACACAGATTCATCGGACCCCTGCAGGGCAACCTTGTGTCCCCCACAAAATGTAATACAGTCTACAATCTGTGAAAGTGAATGACTGTTTTTCTTTACCAGCTCGTTGTGTCTCTGTACAGCGGCCCTCATTAAGCTGACAGGTGATGTTCACTTTAACCAGCAATGACAACTTTACTCTATTTCCAATGTGGCTTGTGTTTCATGTTTTCTAATTTTGTCAGATAAATGCTTCAAATCCACAATTCCTTGTTGGGTCCAAACCGTGTCTCCTCCAAAAAGCAAACATGGGAAAAAGTGAACTGAATCACAGAAAAGTGAATTCCTAGCTACACTTGCCAGTCCTTTCCTTAAAACCACGTAACACAAAAGTTAAGATTTTGTCGTTTGTGTTATTTGAATGTCTTTTGGATGATGTGTCCCAAATCTCTTCACTTCCAATTTTCCCTCCAAAGACATTAAAGAAAGTAAATAATCCACCTCGTTCATGTTCATGCGAACGCCCGCCATTACTACAGTTGCTCACTTCCCCCTCTCCACGTTCTACTACAAACTAGCCTCACTGTAGCCTCATGCAGTGGCTACTGCGCTGGGATTGGTCGAAAGTCGCTGTACTGTAGCTACTGCGCTGTGATTGGTCGAAGGTTACTGGCCTTTGGGCTGAATGAATTTAGCCCAAATGGCCAATAAATCAAGGGGGAGTGTCACGACACCTGTCAATCCAAATTGAATGGAAGCGTACGCTACTGTGCTTGGGCTGTAAGAAATAAGTCCATTCAAAGGAAAAACCCAGGATATATCATATATCCTTTTTTCTGTCACTGTTTGGTGCTGCTGCTGCTCTAGGTTCCACCAATATTTAAAACAATATGTTCTAAGGTTTTTAATAATAGTTTTTCATCTTTATTGTAAAAGACAGGGGGGGCTTAGCCCTGATATGGAGAATCTAACCCAGACCTTATTGATTTATTACAATCTATCTATTGAGATTTTTTTTGTATGAATTTCAATATTAACAAAATCGTGCAATAACACACACACACACACACACACACACACACACATTGTACCTGCTCTTCGTCACTGTTTATCACCGCTAGATCTGCTCCTCTGTTTCTGCAGTCCTCTCTGGCTTTATCCCAGGTACCAGACTCAGTGGAGAAGAGATAAGAGCGGTCCTTAAACATCTTCCATCCTTCAGGATAGGTTTTTACTGTAAGATAAACATACAGAGACATCACAGACCAACAAGACTCATGTAAATATTTGTGAAGTTATCTCTGTAGATGTCATTTTCAGTGAATGACCTTTCAATGCCCCTCAATATATGTTCATTTGGTTGGTGATTTTTTTGCCGATATAAGAGGATTTACTGTCACAATGTAGCGGTGTGCAGAGATAGAGGCCACAGTTGTACCAGTGGTCCATAATAATATACTGTTTAATTTAGTTGTGATTAATGAAAGGTTACATTTGAAAGCCTGAAACTGGCTTCTCATAAAATAGATAGATAAAATTAATGCTGTCAGTTAAACGCGTTATTAATGGCGTTAACGCAAACCCATTTTAACGGCGTTCTTTTTTTTATCGCAAGATTAACGTTCTTTTTGACCTAGCACACTTTGTAGTTTTTTTCACATGCTGTTGCAACAACTAGTAACATTAGAAAAACTAAAACACCACACTGGATCTAGCTAGACCGGAAACAAAACAACAAGCATGCCGCACACACTTGTTTAAGAGTAGTAGACGTTACGTTTTGAGTGGATGGCGAGCGTGAGACGCCAAAATGGATGCTAATAATATTCTGAATGGAAAGTTTACTTTTAAAAAGTTGCCAAATGGTTCCATTGACAAGACCAAAGTGATCTGTGTGTTTTGTCGTTGTGAACTGAGCTATCATCGCAGCACGTCCAGTCTGAAATACCACTTGATGGCCAAGTACACAGCTGATGCAAATTCTCCGCCCCTGGTCAATTAAGTATTAAGCCATGGTTTAACTGCACTATAGGCTGAGTCCTAGTTTACCTTACATGTGCACTTTGTAATTTTATTTTGTATCGCCCTGTGTTGATCCCTTAGAAAGGGCTGTTGAAGGGGCTGTTTGTGTGAAGTATTTTTTTCACCCTTTTATTGATGGACAGTGTTACATTGTGTGAGAGATTATTTGCTCCACGTGAGAATGTTAAGTTTGAACACTACAGTATATGCCAATGTTGTTTTCAATAAAAAAAAAAAACATTTGCACAAAGCAAGCCGATCCACTTTTCCATGTTGATAAGAGCATTAAAATGAGAAAAAATAATGGGACAAAAAGAAATCAAGGGACATTCAGAATAGATAAAAATGTGCGATTAATTGCGAGTTAACTATGACATTAATGCGATTAATCGCGATTCAATATTTTAATTGTTTGACAGCACTAATTAAAATATCTTACCACAATGCAGGGTGACTTAATCACTAGATTTCTGAGTAGCAAGTGAATCTAAGCACTTCATGCAAGGACTCACGCAGTTTGGACAAACTCTGAAGTCTTTCCAGCTCTTGAGTCATTTCAGTGATTCTGGCATTCAGCAGGTCTCTCTCTTCAGTCAGGGAAGAGGACTTGTTGTCACTGGCCTGAAGACGCTCAGTCAGGTTGGCTTTGATAGAGGAGAGTTCTGCAGCTGAACGCTGAGCGGAGACATGGTCTGAAATAAACAACAGACACTTCTCTGAAACACTAGATACCTACTGGAAGATCACAAACATAAATCAGTGTGGCTTTCAGCAGTAAAGTTATGCCACTAAAATTACAATGAAAATATTTCAGTCAGACAACTCACGTTGAAATGTTTATTATAGTACTATAGTCATTTAGATTTTGGCATCTAGGCTCCGACCCCACAGATATGTTTACATAGAGATATTGAGGAGTGATGAGCAAATATCTTAACCTCTAGCCGGAGCCTACAGGTGGATGCTGGGGTGGTGGTGGGGCTTACAGTGCAGCAGCAGCAATATGGATGCAGGGCAACAGCGGCATTGACAGAGCCGAGGGAGAGCTGGGGAATTGTGCAGTTTAAATAGACCGCCAGATAGGAAGGGTGTGCTTGGTTAGTGATTATGGAGTGAGGCATGTCATGTGTGTATAGCAGTGCAGCTGGAGTTAATGCCTGAACTAGCTGGCTTCGCTCCATATTATGCTTTAAACAAACAAAATATAAATGAGAAAATCGAAAGTAAATCAAACAAAAATTTTAAAAAGTGACTGAAAAGTGAGTGATTTTCAGTGAAGAATTATCCTTCTATAATCACAATCCAGCCTGACTTTAATCTCTGAATGTGATTTAGACTCACAGTGGACACCGAGGCCGATGAGTCCAACCAGCAGGAGAACAGTGAGCAGACCCAGACAGAGAACAACAGATCCATGAAATCTCCTCTCTGAGCTCCTGGGACCTGAACACAGAAAATGATACAACAGCATTAATGACAGGTAATTGTTGGGATCCAAGGATACCTTTAAACATGAACTTGTTCATTTGAAGTGTTTAACTGGACCAAAAGGGAAATGTTGGAATATGGCCACATGTGTTTTACACAAAGGAAATGGTCTTTACTACAGTGGCCTGTATGTGAGTAATAAAGCCTGCTTGCAGTGAAAAGACAAAGAAAAAACGCCTGCCAGATAACAGACCTCACAGTGGGGGTCCAGGAATGCGGTCAAGTTGGGGCATAAGGGCAATAAACGACTTTCATTAGTCAGATTCCCTCGGACCCCAGACCCGTCATCCCGGCTTTAAGCCAGAGAGACGCTCTTCTCTCTCTCTTCTCTTCTGGTGGTGTTTGTAGCGCCCCCTACAGGATTTTAAAAAAGCAGCCCCGGCGCCACGTTTCGCCGATATGTATGAAACTTGGTAGGCATGTGTAACGTGCCTGAGACGTACAAAAAAGCCTCTTGGACCCATGTCCCAAATCCCACAGGAAGTTGGCTATTTTAATTTTAAATTTTCACTCTTGGCGGCCATTTTGTGGTCATTTTCACTTTTTGGCTTGTATTTGAACGAACTCCTCCTAGGGAATTTATCGGATCTGCTTCAAAATTGGTCAGTACAGTCAGAAAATGGTGCTGAATGAACGCTGCTCATTTTGTGACTGTACGTTGAAGGGCGTGTCCGTTGTATGCCGTCAAAGTTGGCCATTTTGTATTTGAACTAACGATCTCCTAGAGAATTTATCAGATCTGCTTCAAAACTTGAAAGTATACTTGAATAATGTTGCTGATTAATAGTTGTGCGATTTGTGACTGTATGTTGAAGGGCGTGTCCGTGGTGTGTCGTCAAAGTTGGCCATTTTGAATCGATTGTCTAAGTGTGATGTCATTTTTTGCACTTCAGGGCTTCTATTTAAACTAACTCCTCCTAGGGAGTTTATCGGATCTGCTTCAAAATTGGTCAGTACAGTCAAAATATGGTTAATATGGTTAATAATAAATATGGTTACGCTGTTCAATTTGTAACTGTACATTGAAGGGCGTGTCTGTGGCGTGCTGTCAAAGTCGGCCACTGTGATGCCATTTCCGGCATTTCAGGGCCTCTATTTTAACTAACTCCTACAGATTTTATCATATTGACTTCATATTCCATCACTGCAATCTAGACACATTGTTGATCATAATTTAATCAAATATTTACTGTGCATCAAACTGTGTGTCCGTGGCATGGCGCTGCATTTCCACCTTTCTCAGTGAAGAGTCTCTCTATCAAAGCTCAAGTCTTTTGCAGTGTCTGAAACGCGTGACAACTTAGAGTGGTCTCCCTCAGCTTCTGGTGATCAGGGCTTCGGAGTGGGGTGACGAGAATGGTCCAATCTCAATGAAACTTCACGTGTTTGATAAGAGTCCTGCCCTGAACACGTCTACATGACAATATTCAGACATAGTGACAGTGCCACCTACTGGCAACAGGACCCCTGCATGGCAATTTTGAGCTGATTTACGTGAGATTTTCATGTCGTGGTCCGCACGTGTTACGACGGCATGTGACGCGGCCGCAGCACGCCCTGAGTTGCGTGGAGTGCGAGGTCCCGTCCATCGCTGCTTGCAGCTTTAATTACTGTTAAAGTTACTGATGTGTTTTATTCAGCTTATTGTATTGTGATGTTGATGTTTGATTAACTTAGGTTACTATAGTAACTGTAGTCTTTCAGAGAGTGCTAAGGTGATGTTAGTTAAATGTTGTGCGTTACACAGACACCGTCTTTGCATGCAACTCCCTTTTAACAGCACCGTTAATCTACGATCACACACACACATATTCGGTCTAAATCTCAGCACACGGGGAGAGGGATTCAAACCCTCCTGCGTATTCATGCTCTTTGTCTCTCACCAACATGTGTTTCATACATTGAAACATCTGGTCAGAGGACAAAGGACACACACCCTTTTCGGGGCACAACTCTCATGCACACACACACACACACACACACACACAAACACACACACACACACCTTTCCCCTCTAACTTAGTTCCTTTAAGTTAGATTGTATATAGTGTATTTTCCTCTGTTTGTTCTATTATATCTCTTTAATAAATGTTTGTGTTTATATATGCTGGCCTATTCAATTTCAAGAGTGAGTGATACCAACCTCTTCTATGTAGAACTCCAAAAGCTCCCACTTTAGCTATTAATAATGGTTATTGGTTGTAGACAATTGGTTGTAATTATTAATTTAATAATTAATCTGACTTCTGAATTAATAGTTTAGTGTATTTTTATGAGACTGATCAATCAATTGTTGGTTATCGTTTCCCTTATTTAAGGGTGGTGCCCCGAGGAACTTTAATATTAATTAAAGTCATTTTCTATTATCTTTTGATAATTTTAAATTTTGATAACCATTAATTGATTAAACTAATACAGTTAGACCACTTTAACGACGCTGGAGCCCAACATAATAATACACATCTGCAGAGCTCAGTCTGTCAGCCTCTCTGTCTGGATCATTATTCTTACCTTTCTGATTCTGGGATGCTCTTAAGTCAGCAAAGTTGTCATGTTTAACATTTGCATAGATTTCCTCCATCGCTCATAAGTATGCCAACTGTTCTGCTGTGGGTCAGCTCTGCAGCACAAGCTACTCTTCACATTAATGATAAAACTGTAGCTGGGTTCAGTTTCCCTTTATTTACAGGAAGTCACACCTCAGAATAGTTGAGATAATTTCCATCTCACTTAAAACAAGAACAAGAAAAATATATAGAGAAGTGATGAAGCAGTTTTCTATCTGAATCTTCCCCAAATTCTGGCCTTCTGCAACCAGTCTGCATTAGGAAATAATGTTTTGGGGAAACCAAAATGCTGCTTATTGTCTTACTCTTAAAATGAATGTTCATATTTAACATATCTGCAAAAAAAAAATTTTCTAGGCAGGTAGGGCCTACAATTACTCTTCAAAACTATACAAAACACATTAAAACTTTGTATACAGCAAAGGAAATATACACTATCCTCACATACGCATCTCCAGTGATTCTCCAGGCTGATTCATGCAGATGTGTTTTCACCAAATAAACTGACCAAAAACATTATTGAACACAAGTGTGATCTGTTGACCTGCTCTGAGCAGGCAGAGGACTGCAGGAGACACAGAGATATATACTCCACACTTCTCATCAAACTGACTTTGACAGTTTTACAACTTTGACCTAATGAGGGATTAAAGTGGGTTATACAATTCAAGTCAGGGAAGCACTGGTAGAATGTCCTAGAAAGTGTTGAGTCAAATGTGGTTTACAATTCTGTGGTTCGTTTTTATTTATTTTTTTATTTTTTACTTTAATCAGCATTTTATGGTCTCCTTCCAGTCCAGGTCAGTTAGTTTCAGTAGGATTACCACAGACAGGCTCTTGGAGGCTCTGCCATAGTCTGTAGCTATTGTAGGTACTCTAAAGTTACGTTTGCACATACGCACCTACACACACACACACACACACACACCACACACCTACACACCTACCTTATCCCAAATGCATCCTACAACAACAGCCACATCCTCCTGTGTTGTCGGGAAAAGTGATGACCATCACACAAATTTAATTTCAAAAGGTTTTTAAAATGTTGCCTGTGTCTTTTTTGCGGGGTATAAAGTAGACCGTACCTTAGCCCTGCTTGAACCAGGTTGACGAGAGGAATCGCGCTATGGAAAATCTTTAACTGCTCCTTTAACATTTATTCTCTTTTTAGAAAAAATAAGTAAAATATAAACATAGTATTTTTTATTTTAGAAAATAAGCTTTCATCAGAGATTCAGCCTCTTTCTTCTCCTCCTCTTTCTGGCAAAGAAATCGTGTATCCTGGTAAGTGATTTAACATTTTAATTTGTTTTTGCAACAACTGTCTTTTCTACATGTAACTTATTATTATATTTAGAAAATATTAGTTCATCACTGCACTCTTGCTTAGTCATTTACAATACAGCAGTTTTTAACTACCGCTTATAGGTTACAGGGACACATTTAGAATTTTGCCCTAAAAGTCATATGTGAAGAAGACACTTAAGTGAGGGACATTAGTATGTTAGTATAACAAAAACCTTCTGTTATAAAACAATAAATATAAGGTATTTGGGTGCTTTTGTTTATTTTTTTATTTTTTTTACATTTCTTGAAGTGATTTCTGATGAGTTTGAAGACATCCACCTCACGCAATCAGATCACGGTAGGTCTACTATCTTCTTTTTTTTTCTTTGACCTTTTTCAGTAAACTGGATGAGATTTAACTTGCTTTTGTTTTTGTTTCTCTGTTTCCAAACTACATGTAGACATACAGAGGAAGAGGCCTCTATGCCCATTCGTCCAGAAAAAAGCCGTCCTTGCGCCAACCACTTGCAGTGTCCAAAACATCCTAACCCTGATCCGTATACATACTCTGAATGCCCCCTCTGAATGTTTGGTGAGAGAATCTGGTTTACTGAGTAAACTTTCAAATTCAGTTCTTTAAATTCAAATTCAGTTCTTTAAATTCAAATTCAGTTCTCTAAATTCAGTTTCAGTTCTCTAAATTCAAATGTCGAAATCTCAACTCAATTTCAAACCACTAGATTACAATGTTAAGGTCACAGACGGGTCAAAGTGTTCACTAAGAGCAATCGAATGCAGATGCACAGAGCTTCTTTTTGGCTAAGCAGCACGTTTGTTTTGAACATTTCCTGGACCTGTAGACATTGGCTAGCGAAAAACATGCTTAAAGGCAGGGCCGGCCCAAGGCATAAGCGAACTAAGCAGCTGCTTAGGGCCCTGTGACCACTAGGGGGCCCCCAAGAGCAATTAACTTAAAAAAGAAAAAAGGGTAACACTTTATAATGAGTACACACTATTAAGCATTAGTTAAGCATGAATAAATACTGAATTCATCATTTATAACGCATGAATACACATTAGTATGTAGTTTATAAACACAGTTAAAAATGTTTTATTCATCATTGATAAGCACATTAGTTTTGGATTAGTAAATACTGAATTCATCATTTATAAAGCATGGTTCTGCTGTAAATAGTCATTACTATGTGGTTTATAATCACAGTTATAAATGTTTTACTCTCCATTGCACTGTACATTTCTGCATGCACTTGTACATCCACTATTCAGACATGTATTAATGATTAGTGACTGTGTTAGCAGATGTTCTATAAAACTCACAACAAATTCATTTTCTAATGATGGCCTATAAACAGTGATTAATGCAGGAATTCACAGTTACAAAGCACTTACTACTCGTTAATTAAGTATTTTGCACGAGCTTATCTAAAGTGAGCACTATCTATGGCTTATTAAGGATTTACAAATGAGATAGGCTGACAATGCCTCGAGACTCACAAAATGTTCAGTTATCTTAACAGACGAAGGAGAGACACAACACAAAGGGATATAGAAAATATTGTATTGATATTTACTGCAACTTCCCGCTCTCAGCACGTCATCAACGTGATGACGTGCTGAGAGCGGGATGTTACGTCATATTTACGTTAACTCTCAGAAGTTTCTGACAGTGCAGCCAAGGGGAGCATGGAGAAGCACATTGGAGTCGGCGGCCGTCAGCGGCTCTAGTGGTGAGTATGTGTCTTTGTTTGGTAGCACACATTACGTTTATGGTCGGTTAGATAGCTTCCTATTCAAGCTAACGTTGTTGTGTTTGTGTAATACTTTGAGTAAGTTGATTCTCAGTGTATTTATATTATTCTGGGTCACTTTTTGGCATCAAAACAATGTTTCTGATAACGTTTGATAGCAAATGTTTAATAACTAACGTTAATTACAAACACGGTGATGTTTGCTAGCAATTTGGTTTTGCATTAATGAATTCATTTAGTTAACTTATAGTTTGAGGTATGTTGTTTGCAATTGTTTGCTGCAGAGCACAGTAATTTATGTGAGTAAATAAACATATTCCTTTTACATCAACTCCCTATTGTGCTCATACGTTATATGAAACTTCCCCAGGAGCACTGTTAAAGTATTTAGGAGGAGGCACTGACTCAGCCCAGGAGCAATCCACCTCCTCAGGAGCAGCCAAGGCTGATGAATCAGGTGATCAAACACTGTCACCATATATATTTAATTTCTAGTCAAATGATCTCATTAAGATAAACTAATATAAGATATAATCATATGACAAGAGACATGTTTTTCATCTCAGGTCCATCTCTATCCTCTGCTCCATCCACTGTGTCCTCTGTCCTCTCTGCAACCTCAGCTGTACCTGGCAAGTTAACAACAAAACAGCCTTTATAATTGCTCAGTGTCCTGCAGAATATTCTGAGATGAATAATTTTGTCCAAAAATATTATTTTAATTTCCCTATAGGTCCTTCATCTTTGGTCATGGAGATTGATGTGTCTTCTTCAGGATCCTGTTTGGAGCAGGGATCAGCAGCTTCGTCAGTTGACCCAGCTGAGTGTCCCTCTTTCCTGTCAGACTCAGAAAGGACTGAACAGGTATTAAGAGGGCCACTGCCTATAAAGGACACATTCACATTCCCAAAAAGACACGATGGCCAAAGCTTCCACCACCATCACACATACAGACACCTAGTAAATGGGGAAAAAGTCAAGCGGAGCTGGCTCACATATTCAAAAAGTAAAGATGCGGTTTATTGCTTTTGCTGCAAATTATATTTACCATTTGTGTTACCTTGTTTTAGGTGCCTGTTGATTTACATCATTATTTAAGTATTTAAGTATTGTCTGATATTTTTAAAATTGATTTTATTTAATGCTGTCTGTTTTTGTACATTTGGTGTTGCAGTTTATTTAAAAAAATAATAATAAAGCAGATTGTGTTTACAGTAAACGATTAGTTCATTTTGTTACTTTTAATTGGCCTAGATGACATTCGGTATCCCACTTAGTACTATATCACTTTGAATATTAAGTGTTAATCAACCCCAGGCTGCTCTTGTAGCTGAATTTGCTACCATTTCAGATTAAAAAACCATAGATGGGTAAAACATGCCGGGCTGCTCTTTGAGGTTTTATGTATTGATTCTCTGTGTGGCCAGTAGGGAGAGTTACTGACTTTGCTAAATATTAATTGAAAGATTTTTCTGTAAATTTGCAAATCTGGTGTCTGCTTCCATGGCATTAATCACAGTGGATTACAATCTAACTACAACAAAAAGTTCTCACATTTAGCTTTACAAGTGTATTCGTAATGACAGAGTACAATATGTAGAATATGTTTATAGTAGGTGTGTGAATGATCAATAATCATTATTATTAGCAGTAATAGAGGGCCCCAAAATCAAATTTTGCTTAGGGCCCCATGGAGGCTATGTCTGCTTAAAGGAGACATATTATTCCCCTTTTCAAGTTCAGAATTGTATTTTTAAAATTTTGGTTTCGTGTGTGAACCACTTCGCGTCGGACTGTTTTCACAACCTCGGTCAGTACAACACTGGACTGGCTGAAAGACTGTTCCTGAAAGAGGGATTGTACCAACTGTCTGTGGAGAGACGGCAGAGGAAGTAACTGGAAGTATTTTTAAGAATTTATACTGTTTTTCATTGTTCGTGTAATGCTAGCACATGCTAACCGTTGTTAGCTACAGGAGCCTCAGTGATGCTAACGTAACGTTAGT